TATACGGTCTCCGCCGTTGGCGAACAGAATGGCTTGAACCGTCCAGAGCTGCTGTCACGGATCGTTACGCGTGGAGAGGCACGTTTCGTGACATCATACATCATCGCAGCCGTAAACTATACAATTAAATCTGATGAAGAAGATTCTAGGTGATATTTCGCAAAGCTGTGTTGATAGGTCAATAACAATCAACGCTCGATATTCATTGATCTTCGGGTGATGGTTAAAGTCAAATATGTGTCGAGTTCAGGCGCGGTATGAGAACTGGAATGGCGTAACTCATCCATCTGGTTAGAGGATTGTTTTAACTATTGGAGAAGGCGAATGTAGGAGACTAATGCAAATTGCTGCATTGTTCACCAAAAATTGTCAAATTGCAGCCGAAACAGGGTCTGTGGAGGACATTTGGTTGTAAATTATGGGAGCTGTGGGAAGCTGTTTGGGGAAATATGTACTAAACCTTGTAAGCGATCGGAGCACATGGGGGATGACTAGTGTACGGTTCGGTCAGGGCCAATAGACCTGTCTCGAGTGACTGCGTAAATAGGTGAAAGTGCTTGGCGCAAGATACAGTCGCCGAGAGAGAATAATTGTCAGGTTTGATTAAGTAAGTTAGGAGGGGATGTGCATCTTCAAACGAGTCACTTACGAAAAATAACTCTGTAAATTGCTTTAAGCCTCTGTTACGACTTATCACAAGTCAATATGCATAGGTGAAATACAGGTGAGAATGGGTTGTAAATCAGTTACCGAAGATGGTCTCAACCAAATCCACGAAGATGCGACTACCGCTAAAATTCCTTTCAGGTAAATACTTAAAATACTAAAAGGTTGAGTGAAACAAGGTTAAGTTCGACAAAAAAACGGGAGAATTCGTCTCCCTGTTGGCTGAAATAAGTGAAAACTAGACACTTGAGAAAGGCTGATCGGAAACGACTTAAAAGACAGAATCCTATGAAACTGAGGAGCAAAGAGGAAGAAGAGAAAGGATTATGCAGAGTAAGTCGAACACTGACTTGCAATAAAATAACTTTATTTAAAGGAGGCAAGGCCAAATTGCAGGACTTCGGTGCTGCTACATGGTAGCTGGGGTGAAAGGTGTCTGGGGAACGAACGACCCAGTGTGCG